ATGCCTGCTGGACGAGGTGAGGAATCTGTTCGAGAGGGTGATATATTCTCGTCTCGTCCAGTTTCTGTCCCGGGGTGGTCCCAAGCTCAGCGAGGAGCAATACAGCTTCCGGGGGGACGGTCAACGGTGGACGCCATTTGGCGCGTCAAGTCCCTTTCGGAGGCCTCGTGAGAGGGGGAGTTGTGTTGGCGGTGTCATTAGACATTGCCAACGCTTTTAACTCCCTCCCCTGGGACAGAGTGGAGGAGGAGCTGGCCCATTTCGGGGTCTCTCCCCACCTGATCCACATTATTAGGGACTACTTCCGGGGTAGAACTGTGGAGTTCCGAAATTAATCGGAACTCCAGTGCGGAAGGGCGGTGTATCGCGGCGTTCCGCAGGGGTCCATCTTGGGACCGTTGCTGTGGAACGTCGCGTACGACCAAATTCTCCGGCTTGTCCTGCTCCCCGGCTGCACCGTCGTCTGCTACGCGGACGACACGATAGTGCTGGCCGGGGGCAGGAGCTGGGGCATAGCTCTGGACCTGGAGCGCTCAGCGGTAGACCAGGTTGTGTGCTCCCTGAAAAGGATGGGCCTCGAGGTGTCTTCCCGAAAAACAAAGGTCATGTTTATACATGACGGGTCTAAGGGGAGACTACCTCGCGGCAGGGTTCGAATCGACGGTGTTCTCGTGAAGGCGGCCCCACGTTGACGTACCTGGGGCTCGTTTTGGATGGCGAATGGGGGTTCCAAAAGCACTTTGAGATTCTAGCTCCCAAGGTGGGCAGGGCGGTTAATGCCTTAGGCAGCCTCCTGCCCAACCTCAGAGAACCAAAGAAGAGAGTTATGATCCTTTATCGGGCCCCGGTCTGGGCGAGCGAGATGGCGGCAAACCCGCGCATAATTGCGCTAGAACACCGCGCACAGCGGTTGGTCGCCATCCGCCTTGACCAGGTTTATAGAACAACGTCGCATATGGCCACTACGGCCCTGGCCAGTCTCCCCCCGTTGGGGCTCCTTACCGCGATGCACGCCGAAAACTATCGGCGTGTCAAGGAGCTCTGGAAGGGGGGGGGGGACTCCAACATCTGGCCAGGGCCATTGGACGCGCCAGGAGACAGACCCGTCAGCGCCTCTTCCTCAGGTGGAATCTCCACCTGAGGGGGGCGACGTGCCGCTCCGGCAGTCGGGTCACCGAGGCCATCCGATCCTGTCTACAGGAGTGGGTAGACAGGGCCCACGGGAAGCTGTCTTTCCGGACTACACAGGTGCTCACGCATGATTGCTTCGGTGAGTACCTGAACAGGATAGGTAGGGAGCACACCTCCCGCTGCCACCACTGCGGTGCAGAAGTAGACTCGGCGCAACATACCCTGGAGGATTGTCCGTGCTGGGTGGAGAAGCGCCGAGTCCTGGTCAAAGTGGTGGGGGCGGACTTCTCTCCCTTGGCCCTTATCAGTGTTATGCTTGGGGGAAACGAGGGCTGGTCTGCCGTGACCTCATACTGCGACACGGTAATATCGCAGAAGGAGGAGCACCACAGGGAGAGAAGAGGCGAAGCGGCCCACAGGGATGGGGTGAGGCACCGTAGGAGGAGAACGGCGCCTCATTTACACGCACATCAGCACGGGATAGAAGGGCGGCGCACCCTTGGGCGGGAAGGGGACGTCACTGTTGAGGGGTACCTGTGGGTGTGCCGCCCCTCCCTCCCATAGCTGCCGGGTCCTCCTGGCGGCGATCGCCGGAGGACCCGGCGAGGGGGAGACAGGTGGCGCCATGTCGGGCGGGGGAGACGCGTCGCAAGACGCGAATCCCTCCCGTGACAAGGAGTCAGACCAGGCGTCTCCAGGAGGGGGGTAGAGCAGCCGATCCGCATGGGCGGGTTTTCAGGCCGCTCACCCCCCCCTCACCCCGAGAATGGCGGTTCCTGACCGAGAGGGGCGGATATAATGACCCCTTCGCCCCGCAACCTCGGTCAGGAGCGTAGGAGCGGGCCGGGTCCGGACGGGACCGGACATGGCCAGCAGCGCCCCTAATTGGTGAGGGGTCACCGGACGGGGGGGCCACGTACGGTCATGGAGGATTGGTGGAGACGGGCAGGGCGGTTTTCATTCCCCCCGGCCCGGAAAGGAGGCGGGGTTTTCTTAGTTTTCCCTGCCCGACGGCTGAGGATGTCTCGGAAGTATGCGCAAGCGGTTCCCGGGGCGCTTTCGCGACGACGACAAGGGGCCCGGCAAAGGTTTTAGTGGGTAGGCCCTCTCCGACGGTTAGCACTGGTGAGGGAAAGTCCCACATTACCCCTAGAAAAGTCCCGTATTTCCCGGGGATATGCGTAATAAATTTCTTTTGCCTTAATAAAAAAAAAGGCATTTGTCCGTGTGTGGCGGACGTAAAGAATACCCCCAATGTATGGCCTGCGTGTCGTAAGTTCGACTAAAAGGCCCTTGTGGGTGGGTTGCTGCGTCCATGAGTATTAGGGGCCGGAGAGCGCCCCTTCTTCTCGCTGCAAAGAGGGAGTGGCTCCCAAAAGCGCCTGCAGCAGGGAAGCATACCGGATTCCTTATGCCAGTACAATACCGGTCTCTCGGGTGGGCAGCGGTGCCCGAGAGTATTAGGGGGAAGCGAGTGCGCCCGGTTGTCCTTTAGGACAGTCCGTGCGGGCGAACCGATCTCACCGCGGGAGCTGTCGGATCCCTATGTATGGCAACCGGCTTCCCGGGTTGGCAGCTGCGCCCGAGAGTACTAGAATTCTCGGTGAATAACTCACCGGAGATTCACAGCGGGGGCAGGGCGGGCTTTTTAGGTTCTGTGGAACCAAACCGCTTTTGGGAGCGCCCCGAAAAGCCACCCGGATTTGGGGGCCGCCGTTATGCCCCCCCATTTAAAAAACATGATGAGTACGACTAAAAAAAATAAGACTTCCGGCGGGTCGGATACGTCGGGCCGGCTTGGGGGGATTATGGTCCCAGGTCGTCACTTGTCGGCAACGAACGATGGGCCAGACGTGGGAGAAGCTGCCGGGGTGTCGACGGCGGGCATCCCTGTAGTTAGGACTACCGCCGCGGGGAGGGGGTGGAGCGTAGAGGAAGTAGTGGGGAAAGGCCAAACAGGACGAAAAGTGCGAGGGGAAATGAGAGGGGATTAGGGGACCAGAAGGAGAACTCGAGTGTTGGGAGTAATGGGAATGACTACCCTGAGCTAGGGCTGAAGAAAGTGGCGAGGAAGGAAGCGCCCAGGGAAGAGGAGCTGGAAAGAATGGAGAAGGAAGAGGAGTTGTTTCGGGATATGAGAATGAGGGAGAGAATGTATATTCCGGAGAAAATGCCGAATATGGGGTGCCCGAATGACGTAGTGGATTATATTCAGGAAAAGCTGACGAACATCAGGGTATGTGAGAAAAAATCAAGAGAATATTGGAGAGAAGTAAGAGCATAAGTGGGAACGAGAAAGAGATAGTAAGAGAGGCGCAGAGGGAAATTGAAGACGCAGTGTACGACGTTGATGACACAATGCGTTGGAGATTGAAGGCCGTCCTGAATAGGAAGGAGAGAATAACGGAAAAGTGAAGAGAGGAAGAGAACAAGGTAAGGAGATTGGAGGGGGGAATGGTCAGAATAAGGAGGATTATTGAAGAAATAGAAAAGGGAAGTGAAGAAAAGTACCGCGTGGACAGGGCCACGTCGCCGCTCCCGGAGGTCCCACCCTGACAAGAGGAACCGTACGACGTCAGTGCTGCAAGATGTGGCCCTTGGACGGGCGAAGGGAGGCGTCGGCGACTGGAGTGCCGCCGGCTGCAGCAGGATTGGCTGCGCCCTCTCCGTCTGCTGCGGCTCTCCCGGAAGATCGGGGGTGGGCTATGGCGGATGGGAGAAACGACAGAAAGAAAAGGGGCTCCAAGCAGGGCGGTATGGGGGAGCCGGCCCTGGACGTCGGGCGACGCCTAAAAGTGTGCTGCGGGCGCTGCCGACGACGACGGCGGTGGAGGATCGCCTCGAGTCGGGGGGCCTATCGTATGCAGAGGTCCTCCGCAAGGCGAGGGGCGACATCGCCCCGGGGACGAACGGGGTCCGGACCGCCTTTGTGAGGAGAGCTGCAGGTGGCAGTCTCCTCTTTGGGCTGACCGGACCCAAAAAGGGGAGAGAAACAGACGCCCTGGCAAATGAGCTTCGGGCGTCGCTCCCTGGGACTGTGGTAACTCTCAAGGATGAGGAAGATCCGAATCGTGGGTTTTAACGAGTCGGTCCTCCCAGAGGAAATCGGGAAGGTCCTCGTGGCGAGGGGGATGTGAGCCGGGCGAGGTTCGCTTCGGCCCCATCCGGTGGGGCTGGCGGGGTGAGGGGGCCGTATGGGCTCGACTCCCCTTCGCATCGGCCGCCAAAGTAGCGACCGAAGGAAGGGTGTGGCGCTAAGGTGGAAGGGGGCTTGAGTAGAGATGCTCCCTAGCTGCCCGCTCCAGTGCCACAAATGCTGGAGGCTCGGCCATATTCGGGCGGCCTGCTCCGCGTCTATAGACCTGAGTGGGCTATGCTACCGGTGTGGCCGGGCCGGGCATATCTCGCGGACCTGCACTGAGAGTGTGGCCTGCGCGGTGTGCCGCGAGGAGGGGCGGGACTCGGGCCACCAGGTGGGTGGTCCCCAGGGGTGTATATCAGTTGGACACGGGGCAATTGGACACAGTCCAATCACAAGTCGCTGTTCCAAGGGACCCTACAAATGTCTCTAATCACACGGTGCTGTGATTGGCTGTATCCAAATGCACCGTGTCTAAGTGCACCGCTCCCGGTCCCGAGTGGCCGCTGGTGGAGGGTGACCCGGCGGGAAGATGGCCGCCGAACGCGGTACCGGGCCAGGGAGGCCCGGGATCCGCCGGTCGGACCGGTCCTCCCGCCACTGCCTGTGGAGGCCCCGGTTTGACCATCAGGACTGGGGACCCTGAACATGACGGCCGGTGCCGGGGGGTCGGGACCAGGGACTGTCTTGCCCCTGGTGTGAGTTCGCCCTGTCCCGGTCTCTCTTTCCCCTACGGGTCGCTGGAGGGGTGTGCGAGGGCGTACTCCTCCAGTAAAGCGACCCGGGAGAGAGGCGGCCCGGTGTTGGGTCGCACCCCGCCGCTGTGAAAGGACGGATCGCGACCGGGGTGACTATTACCCCCGGTCCGGGAGGTATCCTTCGGACAACGGAGGGAGGTCCTGCGGATGTTATACACATGTAGTTTCCGCGGGACCCCCTGACGACCGCTGAGGACGTACCCGCCTGGGGTTTTAGTGGGTAAGTCCCCCATCGAATCCTCGGCGGCGGAGGAGCCCCACATAACACATAGCCCCCCGGGGGACGCGGGTATGAGTAAAGCATTTCCCCTGGCTTAACAAAAAAATGTTTAAGTAGGCATTAACTTCTTCCTTGATACATCAGGCCGGCACGGGGCGGGCTAGGTCCCAGGCCTCCGCTGTCGTTAACATGCGCTGGATCGGGCGAGGGTGTTGCGACCGGCGCGTCTACGACGGGCGCGTCGGTTGGTCTGGCTACCGTCGCAGGGAGGGGGTGATAATAGAAAGGGAGAGAGGGATGGCGGAGAGGGATAGCGAGACGGGTGGGGTTAAGAGAAGGAGGTTGGAGAAAATGGAGAGAGATAAACTCGGGATGGAGACAAAGGAAGAGTCTGCAGAGGGAAAGATAATGGAAACAGAAAAGGAGATATTGAAATGGCCGGACTGTGCGAGCAAGAAGGGAAATAGAGAATGTATTAGGTGGTAAACTTAGTTCCTGCGGTTTTTTTGTTTAAAAAACTCATTTATTTCGACATCAAAAGCAAAAATACATTAATCGAAGTATTTTCCTTCGCTAGCTATACATTTTTCCCATCTTTCGGGCAACGCGTAGATTCCGCGACGATAGAACGATTGGTCTTTTGATGCAATCCATTCGTCGATCCATTTTCGCACATCCTCGTAATTTCTGAAGTGTGTATCCACCAATCCGTGCTGCATCGACCGGAACAAGTAATAGTCCGAAGGAGCTAAGTCTGGTGAATACGCTGGGTGCGGGAGAACTGCTCACTCGAGCTGCATCAGTGTTTCTTTGACGGCTTTGGCAACGTGTGGTCGAGCGTTGTCGTGCATGACTTTACGTCGATTGCTGGCTACTGCTGGACTTTTTCCAACAATACTTCATTCAGACGGTTTAATTGTGATCGATATCGATCTCCCATGATACTTTCGTTCGGTCTGAGTAACTCATAACAAACGACGCCGTGCATATCCCACCAAATGCAAAGCATTGCTTTGTGGCCATGAATATTTCTCTTTGGTGTGGATGTCGATGGTTGGCCAGGGTCTACCCATGATTTTCTTCGTTTAGGATTATCGAAGTATATCCATTTTTCATCGCCAGTCACTATGCGCCACAAAAAACTCTTCTTTTTCTGCCTGGCGAGCAGAGAAATAGAGATGTTTAAGCGATTCGCAATGGCATTTGCGGTTAATTCGTGTGGTACCCATTTTCCCTCCTTTTGAAATTTTCCCATTGCATGTAGACGTTTGGAAACAGCCATCGGAGTATCATTTAATGCTGCAGACAATTCTTGGAGCGTTTGAGTAGAGTTTTCGTCCAATAATGCCTGCAAATCGGTGTCTTCAAACTTTTTCGGTTGGCCTGAGCGTTCTTTATCATTGACATCAAAATCACCACTCTTAAATCGCTGAAACCATACTTGGCATGTTCTTTCCGATGGAGCATAATTGCCATAAGCTTCGAAAAGCAATTTATGAGCTGCAGCTGCAGTTTTTTTCAAGTCAAAGTAATGAAGCAGCACATGTCGAAAAAACAACTTATCACGTTCCATATTTAATCAAAAGAAAAAATAGCACTGCTCGCTTAAATGAATCTCTTCGCACTGAATTTTATTGACAAATGTCTAACCTCTAAAATGCAGCCAGTTTCAGATGTCAAAATAAATTACACCTACAACTAACGTCATCTAACTGTGAGCCGCAGGAACTAAGTTTACCACCTAATATATTGAGAACGCTAAGTTACGCAAAGAAAAGTGTAGGATTTATGCAAGAAACCTTGGACAAAAGCAAAAGAATGAGCAAGGTGGAAAAGGAAAGACTGGCCACAAGGATGAAAGAGCTATTAAGATATTGTGAGGAAATTACAAAGGTGTTTAAGTTGAGGATCGAATACTTGAAGGAACTAATATTTGAAAAGGATAAGATCTTGAACGTATAAGGATAGGAAATCAGAAATAATGGATGAGATTAAGGACTGGGAGTGTAATGGTAGTGAATGGGATAAGGAAAGGGAAACACTGGAAGAGAGGATTCTGGTATGGAAGGTCCTCCCAGTTGGAGGGCCTCCCAGGATGGATAGTCCCCGGCCCATACGGAGCGGACGGATCGGGCCGTGTCTGCATTTGCGGGGGTGCGACCCGGTACGGTGGATCGGACGACGTCCCCGGTGTCGGCAGTAGACCTCGGTCGGGGCGGAGGGACACCGGCGGCCGGAGCGCCGCCGGCAAGGAGTAGGCCTGCTGTGGCCTTATCGCCTGCTGCGGCTCCTCCGGAAAACCAGGGTTGGGTTGTGGCGGAGAGGCCGGCAGAAAGAGGAGGGGCCCCAAGCAGGGCGGTAGAGAGGAGCCGGGCCCAGGGTGACCGGTGGCGCCTAAAAGGGTGCTGCCAGCGACGGTGGCGGTAGCGGTTCGCTTCGAGCCGGGGGGCCTTTCGTATGCGGAGGCCTTTCGCAAGGCGAGGGGATACATCTCCCCGGAAAAGAGCGGGGGCCGGCCCGCCTTTGTGAGGAGGACTGCAGTTGGCGGCCTTCTCTTTGGGCTGGCCGGACCCGGGAAGGAGAGGAAGGCGGACCCTGGTGAATAAGCTCAGGGCGTCGCTCCCTGGGGCCGTGGTAACACGGTCCACAAGGATGGGGAAAGTCCGACTCGTCAGTTTTGACGAGTCGGTCCTCCCAAAGGAAATTAGGGAGGTTCTTGCGACGCGAAGGGGATGTGGGCCGTGCGAGGTTCGATTCAGCCCAATCCGGTGAGGCTGCCGGGGCGAGGGGGCTGTGTTCCCACGGCTCACCCTCGCTTCGGCCGCCAGAGTTGCGGCCGAGGAAAGGGTGGCACTGGGGTGGACGGGAGCACGGGTTGTATTGCTCGGCGACCGCCCTCTCCAGTGCCACAGGTGTTGATGGCTCGGTCATGTCCGGGCAACCTGCTCCACGTCAATGGACCGGAGTCGGCTCTGCTACCGATGAGGACGGGCCGGGCATATTGCGCGGGTGCGCACAGAAGGTGCGGCCTGCCCGGTGTACCGCGAGGATGGTCGAAACTCGGGACACCGAATGGGTGGTCCCGAGTGTTCGTTAAAGGGGGGGGTCCGGCGTGCGAGTGGCCGCCGGGGCACCGGAGAGGTTGACCGCCGAATGCGGTCGATCCGGGCTCCCTCACGGGAGGTGTTCCCGCGGATCCCGTGAGCTTGTCCCGGGAGCCGGCCGGCGGAGAGGGCCCCGGTCAGACCATCTAAACCGGGGCCACGGCGCCGGCTAAACATCGCGGTCAACGCCGAGGGGCAACCGAAACCGGGGATGTGTCGCCCATTGGCGGGGCCCGTACGGGTTACTTGTCCTGGGACGGTACGTCCCTGGGGTGAGTTCGCCCTGTGCCGATCTCTCCTCTCCCCTGCAGGTCGCTTGGGGGGTACGCGGGGGCGCACTCCTCCGTTAAAGCGGTCCGAGAGGGAGGCGGCGCGTTGTTGGGTCGCACCGCGGCGCTGTCAAAAGTGGGATTGCCGCTGTAAAAAGAGATTGCCGGACTATGCAAGCAAGAGAGGTAGTAGGAGATTCGTACTGGGAACCATAACTCTTGCAAGGAAAAGCGCGGGACACATGCAAAAGGTCAGGGACAAAAGCAAAAGAATGAGTTGGCTGAGAAAGAAAAATTGACTGAGGATGGAAGAGTTATTAGGATATTGCGAGGATATAACAAAGTTAAAAAAATTAAAGACCGAATACCTGGATGAATTGATATGGGAGAGGAACAAGATCCTGAATGATTACGAGGATAGAGAAACAGAAATGGTAAAGGAGCTAAGGAATGGGAGGATAAAGAAAGTAAATGAAAGAAGGAAAGGGAAACACTGGAAGAAAAGATTTTGGAATGGAAGGGTGGGGGGAACCTAAGTGTGGATCGGAGCACATCTCCGGTCCGCATAGGGATGACTGATCGGGCCGTTTCTCCGTTTCCGTAGGTACTGTAATGTCCCCGTCTTCTCTCGAATAAACGGTTGCTCCGTTTATTTAGGCCTACCTGCATACACCGGCAATAGCCCGGGACGTTTGAGAGCGCGCTTTTCTACTGCGTTGAGAATTCCTTCGTCTGGATGGTCGACGTTCTTCCTGCTTATAATTACGCGCTCGCGCGCGCGTGTGTATGTGTGTGTGTGTGTGTGATAAGTTATTTAGGGGCGGGTAATAAAATAAAGATATATTTAGTAACAATTGTTTATTTTATTTTTAGAGGGAGAGGTATCTCATCTCGTTAAGGGTTGCTGCTTCGAGGGAAGAGAAAACATGGTCAATCGGGATTTCTAAATTCTGTATTGTTAAGACATTGGGAATTTGTTCAATCGAGGATGAAAGTGAATATGAAATTGGAAAAAACGATCTTTGAGGACATGCGGGAGGTGGAAACGGTATGGTGCCTGTTTCAACCTTCAATTGTACTATGGGGTCGTCGTAGGGGTTTATCTGTCGAGAAGGAGAGATTGAAAGAGGTGGATGAATAACCATGTTGTTGCTAAGTTTTATCTGATCTTTTTGTCTTATCCGGTAATTTCGTTCGTTGGTGATTGCTCGTTGTCGTAAAACGTCACGGCGATGTTCCATATGTAACTAAGGGTTCGGAAAAGGAGTGGTATCTAAAGCACGTTAATAAAAATTAAAGAACATTATATTTGCTTTAGTGTTATCGTAGATACATTTGTATTGGGGATCGGAGAATTGTATGTATTTCTATCTATTTAATAAAGATTATTAAAGCGTCTGATAAATTTCACGAATGTATTCATCGATATCAAAAAGGGACTCATTTTCAAAGGAGTCAAGGGTGAGATTGTGACCGGCCCTCGGACCTCGTGTCTAATTTTGCAAATTCTTTTATACGCTTCTGCGGGACGCTTTGGTCGCCACCCGTTTGACTTAATGCTACGCACCGACTCGCGGGGCCGCGTTCCCCGGAAGAACGGGATTCCGGAAGAAAAATAAATAACTCCCGTTTTGATCGAATGCGAGCTTTATTGATATTGCATACGAGACACCGGATTTCCGCCGCCGTGTACACACCGATCGCGTCTTATCTTGCGCGATTCCAATATGTCCGTCCGTTCTATGCGACGGTTATTTCTCTACTGTGGCAAAAGGCCCCGACAAGAAAGCGCCGATTGGCCACTTGAACTATCGCGACAGCGCCACCGCGTCGCCGCGACAGTGTGGATTAGCCCTGTCTCGCCTCGAGTTATTTTTATTAATAGAGATGCGCGACTCGGCGCGGCCACGATGACACGGTTACCAACTCTCGTGTTGAGTTCGTACATGTGGTGAACCACTAATTACAATTACCACTTATTAACTATCGCATTATAATCGTTATATTAATATAATATGTGCTCTTATTGACTAAAATAAACTATCCACAACCCGGACGAGTCTAGGCACACTTAAGCTTAATTAGACTAATACAGAACTATATAAACTCTATATACTGGAACTTGATTGATAGAACACCAAATTAATATCTTCGAAATGATAAAATCATGTACGCCGACTTATAATTAAACTAAGTCAATATATAAATATTTGGTCGACGCAATCATAAATCCCAAACTTGTTGTAACTATACATACATATATAAATTATATCATCCTCGCGTTTCAACATAAAATAAATAATACTAATACTTTAACATCATTACAAAATTAAAATAAAAGGAATAAATTTCTACAAAATAAATTGATAACTTAATTAACGCCATCGTCATCCTAGCTTACGCATTACTCACTACTCAACATTAATTAAGCTATTTACGCGTAAAAATATATCAAACTAACTAATATACATTTTTCAGTTTTAAATTAAATATAATAAACATCTTATGATTATTCACGCATGCCCTCTAATATTTTCTTTTTATGTTTCAGGTTTCCCGGCGTCTCCAAGACCCACAGGCTCCACGGATCACCAGGACAACCCTCCACATATCGGTAAGTACCAATCTTAATTAACTTAACTCAATAATAATAATGATTTTGTTTACAGGTCTCCCCGAACTAAACAACACAGCCTTTGGAAGAATCACTAATTTTACCACACGGTAAGTACTAAAATAAATAATTTCTATTTTATAATTAATCAGTCGCCTGTCTATATCGCTCTCCGCGCACACGCGTGCAACACGGTAAGTAGATCGGACTTCTCCTCAATTACCTTTCGTTTCTAAACTACTGTATCGAACTCGACTTTGATTGGCCGAGAGCCAACACGAAAAGCGCCGGTAACTGCCTCGTGTGAGGCACCGGCGTCGTGCGTGGGAGTAGGATCGGCAGTGGTGAGAAAGAGACTTCACAATTGCGGTTGCAGTGCGCCACAGGTTTATTGCAAGCAGAAATTACACTGAACCCCTCGATCTCGCGACGGAGCGGCGGACGGAAATCTTCAGCGAGTCTTCAGCATGAGGCCGTTCTGAACGCGACGGAAATCTTGATAAATATCTCGTCGATATTCACGCGACGGAGATCTTGACGCGCCCGTCGGAAATCTTGAGTTGCGAGGCCTCGGACTCAGTTGCGCGAACGCGAGCGAGATCGGCGGGTTTGCACTGTCTAGACGATGCACAAGGTTTGCACATGAGATATCAGAGCGCGTGCCGTCGGAACGCGCGGCCGTCGTGTGCGGGCGACGCGCGCGAGTACACTGGTGCTGCACGGCGCGCGAGCCGTCGGAAGTCGCAGCTGATGGCAGCGAGCTCAGGGATTGATCCGAGCTTGATCGCCGACAAGCTCGAGCAAACGAAAGCCTCGCGGAAGAACCGCACTGCTTCTTGGGTCCAACTTCAGCGTCGAGCTACAGTACGAAAGACGATACACCGAGAGCCGAGAGAGCAGAGCAATGCGCGCACGAAGAGCGCGACGTCACACTACGAGAGGAGCGTCGGCTTGACCGACAATGAGAGATCGCCAGCGCACGCACAATTGAGCGACTAGAATATCGCGGCGCGGCTCTTCCACACGTATTTTCTTGCGCGGACGTCGATGTCGGGTCGCACCGCGAATGAAGAGACCGACCGCGAGAGAGGAATCGGCGATCGTCGCGATGAGAGCAACGATGGACTCATTGCGCCGGCAAAGCCGGTGAACGAATCCCAGCAAGGAAACAACGAATACTGAGCGAACCGGTCCACGAACTCGACGATGAGCGATTAGGAGATTTCGCGAGGAATCAGCTTCGCGACGAACTTGAAGCTGAGAGACCGGCAACCGCAGGCTGAGCCTGATAGAGCGAAACTGCTCGCGAGACGTTAGCATGACCCGCCGTGAAGACGTTCTACGCGAGAAAGCTACTGACCGAGGTACGCGATCGTACTTATAGGCTTCTTTTAGTATGCTCTGAAGCGCGCGAATTGGACCACAGGAAACGGAAAAACGGCTTGACGACTCGCGACTAACGCGAGTCTACATCGGAGCTGAGGTTTTTTCAATTCATCGTGCGAGCATTTCGCTGAACGTGCCGCCCGCCGATTCGCGGAATCTGTGTTTTGGCTGATCGTTGCCATAGCAACTGCTCGGCTCCGCGTTACGAGCGCTCGCTGGCCTCATGACGACGCGATCGCACGTGATCCTCACGCGCTACCAAAACACGCGAGAGGACGAACAAAGTCGATGTTGTTACGGATTGTAATCATTGACAGCCGTACTCCTCGAGAATGTTTCGAGAGAAGTGGTTATCAAAATAACGACAACCATCCGTCTTGGTCGAATCTCGAACAACTACCCTTTCTCTTTCAGCGTCGGAGGAACGTTCTCCCCAAGATTTTAACTTACTCTCCATGAACGCGAGCCTATGAGAGCCGCTCGATGATACTCATGCGCCTAACTATCGTAGTTGTTCTCATTATACTATTTCCTTAACTTTCTTCTCAGGTTAAGCTA